ATAAAAAAAATAAATATATTTTTTATAGATTAGAACAGTAAGTTATTGATGTATATTTTTAATAAGTAATTACAACTGAAATATTTTGATTGACAGAAAATTCAAAATTATGATTTGTTGGATATTGTACATTTCTAGTTCCTGCAGTATTTGGCACTTTATTAGGCAACTTTGTCCCCATTTAAGCGTCATAGTATAATTTATGATTTACGAAGACCCGTGGTGAGCGAAGAATTTGAATCTAGTCCAGAACAAATTAATATTAAAATAAGTTTTTTGTACATTTGTGATTTTTGTGTTGTTTCTTGTAGTAGAAGGTATTCGCGTTATTTTGAAGTTCACGGTTTTATTAGAGGTAGTGATTGTATTATAAATCAATTATATTTGAATATTGTTTAAAATAAACTATCATTTTAGAGAATATCGTACATCGTGAGGCATTTGTTGTAGAAGTCTTTCACTCTAGAACGTTGTACCAAAGGGAGTTCCCTTTTTCCTCTTTATGATAATGAATTGGCCACGTCGGTGGTACAATCATGAAGGTAAGTGGTAAGTAATTAAAAAATTTTTTACATTAAAGACAACTTCTTTTATTTAAAGAATTAATAAGCCGAAAACTCTTGGTGAAACATTATATATACATATATAATAGAATGAAATACAATTGGAGAAGTTTCACTTGTTTATTAAAACTCAATGTACTATACATTTCTGCTTAGGGCATCCTCATAAGTACAAGTGGCACAAATCATACTGATACTCCTGAAGATAACCTAAGAAGGCGAAATGCACATTGAATTTCATTAAATAAATGAAATTACTCCAAGTGTATTTTATATTTATTTATTTACTTATTAATGTTCCCGGTTCTGTACTGTTTTTGCAATTCTATAAACTAGATATCACAATTGTATAGTAGGTGATAAACTTTCAAATTTAATTTGACAATCTAACAAATTAATTTTAAATTATCAATTACTTGAAAATGTATTAACAAATTAAACAAGCAAACTTATGTCAAAACATTGGATCTAGTCAGAATTATTAAATTTAAAATTGAATTACATTGCAAATCAAACAAGTTGCAATAATCATCATTTTAGTATTCCATCTCTCCTGATATCTATTCTAAATTTCTATAACATCCAAATGAAATCGTTCCTCCTGCTCTTCATTGACATCACCAAGTTTTGCAGGACAAAAGTCCCCAATTTACATGTAAAAAGTGAAAAATTTTCCAGCCTATTCTCAACAGTGTTACATAATTTTAGTTTTTATCATTTCAAGAAATTTATTTACAAATTCCTTAAAGCTTCCTAGGCATCTTTTCGATGAAATGCATTTTACCATTCTCACATGTACACGACTGATGCATGCATTTTTTACGCATCAATTAACTTCACAATTTATGCTTGTTACGCTTTTTGTGGTCTGTTCTTACAAGAAAGACTTTTTCAGTTTGTGTGCGAGGCAAGAGGAAGTAACTACAATAAAGTGGTATGCAATAAAATTAATTGAGCTGTTAATTCTGAAATTTTTATTTAAATCATTTCAAAAAGATAAACGTTCCAATTGTTTATAATCTATTTTCAACAGACAAGTTTCAAATATTATTCAGAAATATCAATAACAAAATAAAAGGAATAGAATTCAGTTTAATAAATTCTATTCCAGAAACATTTAAGGATGTGCAAGATAATTAAAATTTGAATAAAATCAAATTTTGAATTATCAAATAGCACATACGTTAAATTTTTATTGTTCCTTTCCCAAAATAATTAACATTTAATAACAATAAACAAAAACACATTTCCAGGCATAGAATTTATTTAAAAAAATTATTCTATGAAGGAAGCACTAAAAAATGTGTATTTGCTAATTCACAATTCAAACAATGTTTTTATCCTTACTTTTAAATATTTCGCGCCAGATTACATATCGGGTCTGCGACGCTCTCTTCCGTCTACTTAACTAACATTCGAATAATCTCTCTACCAGTTAGTTACAGCGGATATTTTTAAATTTCATCAAAGTATTTTTTAAGCAGATATTATGCAACAA